TAGTATTCGTGATTTTCAGCTTCGGACCATTGACTTGGTACATGCCAAAAACGTTCCGCCGACATCGTCCTTGAGAGGCGCTATCGTTAGCACAGAGTTGCAACTTATTAACGGGACAAGTCAAGGCAATCCTCTTGACCAATTTCCTTTTTATCTTTTGTGGCATCACTCCTCGCCGCTACTTTTTGTTCTACCTTTTAGTGCTGTATCTCTTTCTCTCAACCCCACTTCATATTACCTACCCACCTGTGCTCTCGTTTCCTCTAAAGTCGCCTAAGAATGTGTCGCTACAAGTTAGTTAAGTGAAGCGTAATCATCTTCACCGTCGATACATGGTGCCATTTGCATGGCTCACGGCCTTCATTCACTCCCACTTTCCCCTACCTCGCTTCTCAGTTGGTCGTTCCTAAACATCCAAATTACTGTCTGACTCTGAAATCTGGCTGTCTCAGGGCCTCCACTCCCCGTTCTTGATTACTCCATATTCGAGGATTTAGAGCAGATGATGCAATGCTCATACCCATGGCAATCTTCCTCTCCATTGGCTCAACCTGTTACTCTGTTACCATCTTTCTTATTCTCATCCTAATTGTGTATCATTCTTTGTGCCCCTGTGTCTAGCTTAAATCATAACCGCTGGTGTGAAAATGCACCTCTTTCTTCTTTACCCCGAAATCACGAAAAGCACACTCGTCCTTCAAGTTGGCAGTCCCACCTAATCCTAGGGTGCTAGGATGATCATGTGTATATTGGCTGATATCCCCGGTGGTAAAGCATATCAACAGTCACATACTTTTAATGTGCACAAATACACGCACACTGGTGACCTATATCTGGTCTACCTATATATTTAGCCTTTCATTTCCTATCCCCCGGAAATTTTTTTGCTGATTCAGGTTTTTCTCGTATCACTACAATCGCCTTTTCTTGACTTTTCTTTTTCCATCATGGGACGCTACTTGCTATCATTTTGAGAAAATAATTCCTCTTTAATCCATCTTTTTAATCAAAATGATTTCATCTTACTCCTTGTCTTTTATACATTTTATATATGATTGTGCCATTAATGTGTTTAGCTTTGTTTGCTAACCTAGCTAGTATTCAACTCCCCTCTTAAAATTTATCCGTATTTAATTTCTCTTCATCATAACACTTCTTTTATAAATCAGACTTATTTATAATTTGCTCTCCCTTAATTACTTTCAAGTTTATTATTTATTATAAATTTCGGAAGCGTTATTTTGACATCTTTAAATTTCCCTTTTCCCTGTAGAATTCACCTGATATTCTCGTAGAATCGCTTTTAAAGCCTGCTAGCGAAGCTAATCACACGAGGGAGGCAAGCAAGAAGTCTTCAGCCTCACCTAATGAGACTGTGGAAGCCAGCGACACAGTACCCTCCAAAAGAGCCAAACTTACACCTTCAGCACCACCGCCTCAGCTTCCAGCGCAGCAGCCCCCTGCTTACTCTCTTAGTCCAGAACCTATTGCTTCCTCCGCTTCCTCATCTTCCTGCTCATCTCGGGTGCTGACAGAACACCTAGACCCTATACATACTTCTGTTAAATTGGCTGCTGGTTCGCCCACCATTGCTTCGACTGCCAACTCTGATGTGATTTCTGGAAGAACTGAGGATGCCGCAACGGCGATGGTTGTAGAACGGACAGGGGCTGCCGAGGTTGCCGCGAATGGTCCTTTGTTAGGACAACCAATCAAAATAAGGTGTTTCTATTTTTCCTTAAGTTTATATTTCCATACCTTCTTTCTTATCTTATCATCAAGTTTCGAACTTAATTTACTTGCTCTTTATTTAGGTTAACATTTAATTTTTAGAATAATTCTTTACTCTCAGCTTATTCCACTTCCAGTTAGTTTTTCATTTTTAGAAATGTATGCACTAAATTTAATCTAAGCGTGCATATGTAAATCGTAACAACTAAAGATTGAATACTGATACACAAATTTGCCATTGTGAGCTAAAATGTTAATCATTTATCTATAAATTGGAAATCTAGCATTAAATTGGAAAATTTTAGTTAATAATTTCTCTGATTGTCTTAGCGGGCACAACCATATTTGTCCACATCCGTATGTATGTATAAAAGTTGGAAATTCTGTTAATGCACATTTTTAATGGCCTTGTTTATCGGTTTTCTAAATTTAATAGTATTCCCTTTGCATATATTCTATTCTTTCATTTTTTATAGATATCCTACTTTTATACCAATTCCATTTTTTTACTATCCTTATTATTCTAGCTCCTCCACTCAGAATGATGAACGTGTGAATGAAGCTGAAGCATCTCTCTTGGGAAAAGAAGCAAGCATTTTGATTTTTATATTTTTGTACGAAAAATATGACATTTAAGAATTCAGGCGCTATATTGGTCGATCGTTGTTTTATCCTATAATAGTGATGTGACCGTGATTAAAAGAAAAGCTTACTGCTTTTTACATACATTCAGTATGCTTACCGCAATTCTAACTAACAAAAGTCGAATCTAAGACTTCCTTGTTCAAAGGTAACAAATATAACTACACCAAACCCTTTGTGTCCTTGCATCACAAAGCAGGCAGCAATTATGGTAGGGAACTTTTATTCTAAGCTATAACGCAGCGAACTCGTTTTATAATCGAAGTTATGAAGACCAAGATGGTGTGGCCTTATGTATGGTCGCAGTCTCCTTTCGTTGTATAGAGGTTGTTTGAACTTGTTTTCGCAACATGGTCAAATTGGTAAGAAGACTTATTGGAACGCACCTAGTCCGGGGTCCATTGTCTTCATAATCATTTCCAAAGTTGAACCGTAGACGTGGTATATTCCCAAACGTTTTGCCGGCATCGTAGTCGGCATCATCAGTGAGTATCGCCATCCTAAGCACCATACAGCAACTCGTCAGAGACAAGTGAAGCCGATCCTTTGACCAAACTTGTGCTAAATAATAGTGGTATCTCCCCTTCTGCCATGGATTATTCGCGTTTCCGGTAGCATCCTATCATGCCTTCACTATTGCAATTTTTACCGTGTTTATTAAGATAGTGTGATGTGCTCCTTTGAGCGACATGACACTTTCACTCTCCAATTCTCGTTCTCACCCCTCCCATCCTTGTGCAGGGAATGTTGATCAGAGTCTGTTTTATTATTATGCAGTCCTCTTCCCTAGTCTTAGCCCAATCTCTCTCTTGCTACGTAAAATCCGTCTGCTCTACCCCTTGTTCACCTATTTCACTCGACTCCTGCCACCACATCTGTCCTATCGAGGCATTATTCGCTCTCACCTGCGTCTGGGTGACTAATTCGAGGCTTAAGCCTCTGAGTGCCATGGTCACCCTTTTTCTACATGGACCACGCCTCTGGTACAACCGATCTACCGTCAGCCAACTAGCTCCGGTTCCCGCCGTCTCTATCCTGTTTCTATCCCTAATACCAAGTCTATGATTTGCCATGCCATAGTCTCTTGTGTGCCAACCCACAAATGTTGTGGTACAGCTTGTCTAGATTTTATTCAATATTGAACCACAACATTTGTGGGTTGGCATACAATAGACTAGGGCATAGGAAGTAATAGGCTTTGTATTATAGATAGATAGAGGATAGAAACAGTGGAAGCTAGAGCTGGTTGGCTAAAAAATTGTCGTGATTCAAAAATCAGGTTTACGATCAAACACGTCTATTGTTAGCCAAACAGCTTTAGTCTCCAACACGTCTTTCATGTTTCTATCTTATAATACCATGAATATCATTTCCTATGTGTGCTAACCCACAAATGTCGTGGTTCTACTGGTTTTGCTAAGGCTCACCGAAGACGTCTCCTCTTGGCTTCTGATTCTTCCTTTCTCATCCTCTCTAATATTCCGTTTTCTTGTATTTTCACTATATCCAGCCAACCTATCGGTCGATTTCCAGTTTATTTTTTGTCCA